ACTCGGAATCTTTAGCCAAACCTGAACACAATTTAATCTATACAATCCTAAAACTGAGAGAACGTTTCCCGACCTGAGCATTTCCTTGTTCTTGAAGAACTGCACACATGGGGTTCCCATGATTCCAGCGGCTTCAGCAATTTCTTGATCTTCCTCAATGTCAATCTCCACAAAATGCACATCATGGTTATACTCATCGACCACCTGAAACAAAATGAAGGAGAAATGAACAAATGGTTAGTAAATCAGTCCAGTAAGATCTCTTCCGATGAATTTCAAGTCTGACTATTGAAGGAATACCTTGTTTAAAATAGGCTTCAGAGTCCTACAGGGGCCACACGTTGGTGAAGTGTATAGTACCAATATAACTCTTGGACTCTCATGGTATAATTTTCTAAGAGCATACTGAAAGCAGGGGAAAAAACACGAGGAAGATGTGAGGCAGATAAAATGCTTGTAGATAATACGTTAAGGTTCATATGTTAACAAACCTGTCCCTTATGCTTTGTAAGAGTGATGTCAAACTTTTCTTGGACATCGCGTTGTGTGAATTCTTTCTTGGCCTCTTCAGTTTGAGGCTGCCATGAGGTAGAACATGAAAGAGTGTAAGCCTTGTAAAGTGTGCTTAAGATATAAGATATTTCTGAAAATTTTCTACCTGGTGAAATTCAACAAGAAGATTGTTACTTGTGAGGTATCTCTCGGCTGACAAAGCAGCTATGCATCCTGATCCAGCAGCAGTTACAGCTTGTCTCCATTCATGGTCCTAGAGTGACAAATGGAAGAGTAGCTAACACAATTATCGAACCAATATGACTTTACAGAGTTAATACCAACATCTGAAGATGGCTAAAAGTTCCAAAGTATAACCTGCACATCTCCTGCAGCGAATACCCCGTCAACTGATGTATTTGATGTTCCTTCCCGAACCAAGACGTACCCCGAGCTGTCGAGTTCGACTTGGCCTTCCAATAACTGGCTGTTTGGCGAATGCCCTATTCCATAAAACAATCCTTTTGCCTCCAGCTCGGTTTCTTCACCCGTATCAAGTCTTCTGAGTAGAATGCCAGACATCTGTCCCTTGGTGTTGCTCAATACGTCCACGGTTTCCGTGTTGTAATGCACTGTGATGTTTGGATTGTTGATCACTCTGAAACATTCGCCATAACCAACCTGTTAAAAAAACACTCAGGGTGTTGAAAAGACTCAACTTACGTTGTGCTCATTAGTCTATAATTCCGATAGCCAGCAAACGAAATAAGCACTATACTGGTTGGTTATAAATTTACATGGGATGGAAATCACAACCAAAGGCTTTCCCAGAAATATCCAATGGATTTGCGAGGGAACAGGGGATAGCAGTCAATACATGCAACAAAGAACCCTCAACATAGCTATGACAATCTCCATTTCCTAGTGTAGACATACCACTTATTGAAATTGAACTGTTTATCTTCAGAAGTCAAAGAAGAGGAGTAGAAATAAAACCAAGAAGTGATGAATATAAGAACTCACCTATCTTGCATAGCCTTGGAAGCTCTCAACTGGTCTCTGCGAACAAGCAAATGAACATGACGGGCATATTTCGTGAGGTACAAGGCTTCCTCTGTAGCTGTATCTCCTCCTCCAACCACGGCAAGTACTTGCCCCTTAAATAAAGGAGAAGCTCCATCACAGATTGCGCACGCACTTATCCCCCTACTCCAGAACTCTTCCTCCCGAGGTAGCCTTAACCTCCTTGCTGTAGCTCCAGTGGCATATATAATACTATGGCACTTGACCTATAAAAAAATTAACACAAATGGAAAAAACATCGGAAGAGAGCTCAAGCCAATAAAAACTATTTTGAATTAAAAAAAAAAAATAGTGAGAAACAAAGAAAGATAATCACCTTACGTTCACTAGTTTGCACAGTAAAAGGAGCAGTTGTGACATTAAGAGATTCAACATCTTCTGGATACAACTCTGCTCCCCATCTCTCAGCTTGCTTTCTCATTCTACAAATTTCACACAAAAAATTGCATCAGAAACATGATCTCCTATATAGAGCCTCATGAAAGAAACGCCACAAACTAACAAAAGAATCAAAATGCTCACTTCTCCATTAAATCCGGCCCCGTAATCCCGTCTGGGAATCCCGGAAAATTCTCAACTTCAGTAGTTGTCATCAATTGTCCACCGGGAACTCCGCCCATCTGATACCCTTCAAAAACCACCGGCTTCAAATTGGCGCGCGCTGCATATATCGCCGCCGTATAACCGGCCGGACCGGAGCCTATAATCACTACATTCTCGATAATCTCGCCTGCAATTAGGAATTATAAAACCAACACAGAGCTCGATTACTTACACTGCCAAAAACCTTAAGAAAGAAGAAAAGAGGAAGTCCTAAAGTACCTCCTGAAGAAGAAGACGTCGAATTGGCGGTGGCGGAGACTCTGAGGCGGAGGGAATCGGAAGAGCGAGTTCGGGTTGGTTGACGGAGGAGTAAGGAGCCGCCGTGACGTGTAGTAGTAGTAGTAGTAGTGCTGAGAGAGAAGAGATGATACGGAGGAGAAAGAGCAGATGAGGCGGCGGAGACGCGGTGAGACGATGAGACGGAGGCAATTCCGATGCCTATCTTGGGAGACGCAGCCATGTTTTGTTGCCTTACCTTACCAGAGACCATACAATTGTCTTTTTGGCTTTGCAGTTAAAAAAAAAAAACATCCCGATTTCTGTTGGCGACTGTGCCTCACGCGCCTCAGCATTATCTCTTTGCTTCCAAGTCCACAGGCTTAGATGATTTTAAACCGTTGGATCTAAGAGATGAAGCGTATGTACGGTGGAGATGTGTGTTGACTGATTTTACTTCGTCTTTTCAACGGAGTGATAAGCCAATCGTATTTTTTTGAAGTTGGAAAGCTCACCAAGAGTTTTGTTTAAGTGGATGGACGCTTTTTAGCCTTTTTTATTGGGCCATAAATGGGCCTTCTTTGGTCTCAAATATTGAGTCACGACGAGGATTCTTAAACCCACCGGAAAATTGGCTAATCTTTGTGCGGATTGCATAAAGTTTCTTTCTTTCTTTGGTGAGAAGGAGAAACATTTTATGTTACGAAAAAAAAAATTCGTACGTTTGAAGTTTTTTTCAAGAACACATATAGTTTTACCATTTTGATCGCGATATTCTCATAAGGTTTTTGAATTTTGTTTCAGAACTATACAGTGATGAATCACTATGAACCATCTTTCTTAGAATAAGATAACAAAATTCAACGATGACATTCGTAAATTAGATATTTCGGATTAGATTAGAAATAACACATTATAATTTATAAATTATAACTAACTAAATACGGAGACTACAATTTACTTAATTAGTTCGATGTGAAGTGGAAATGAAACTAGGAGTTGGTGAGGGAAGGTGACAGACTAATCTTTTGTAAGTCAAAAAAGTTAAGCTGACCAAAAAGAGCAGCCCAATGAAAGCAAGGATCTTTATCTTTAGTCTAGTGTCTGAATTCCATGCACTTGGAATGTTTTAGTCAACAAAATGTACTTTCATTTGATGTTGTATAGATTTGTTATGACGCCACGCCACTAAACGTAAATTACTACTTTATGGTAAAAAAAAAAAAAACGCATTGTGTTCTTACTTGTCATCCAAACTCGATGGTTTGCCATTTGAAGTTTCTTAAACTGTTCTTGACTATTAAAACTGTTAAATTCGATTTTTTTTAAGTAACTTACCATCTATATTAATAAAATTCGCATTCAACATTCAACAACGGCTGCTAAAGACTTGCATTTGAGCCCTAAAATGCTGGAGTATATGCTGGATGTGGTTTTTGAACCATGCCTGACTGTTCTGATTTGTACTATTAGTTCAGTTATCTCTCTCTCTATTTTGTTTCTCTCTTCTCTCTCTATTTGTTTCTCTCTACTAGAGACGCGTGGATTGTACGCGCCGTCAAAGGAGCATTGTCGGTAATCCCTTCAAACACCAGTAGATGACCTGAAATACATCACTGTCCCCAACTTTGACCAATAGAGATCTAAAGGTTTCATTTCTTGCATTACTATTGTGCTAAAATTGACATTAACTTAAATTACTTGATTACGTCTTGGAAAAAAACATAACTTTGGGAACTTTTAATTATCCAACTGAAACTTCGATTAATTTTAATTTGGAATTTCTGCTATAAACTTACATACCTTTATCATACCACAAACCTAAATAATATAATCTGTGATGAATGATCACTTTTTTCACTTTCCATTCCAATCGATTGAATGGAAAGTAAAAAATTACTTGTTTACACTATTATAATAAATTAACAAAGCATATATGTAATGTAAAAGAATAGTCATCGATTTTTGAAAAAACGAACAATTTGCATGCTCCTACAAAACAACGAAGCTAATATAATGAAAATCATAATTATTCTTGCAATATCAAATTGACAATCATTTTTTACAAAGTAACATTAGAACGGATTTTTTTTAAGAATATAAATATATGTATATATATATATATATATATATATATATATATATATATATATTAAATTTAAGAAGTGGTATTCTTTAGAGAAACAAGATTGATAATAAATGTGATACTTTGCAGTCGTCCATTTCGAGAAATTTGTTTTTATGATTAGTACTTGATTAATCATGAGAGAACAAAATCTTACAAATATAGGTAAACATGATGAATAATATGCATGATTTGCGTTCCTTGTTTTTGTAAATTGATAGTACCACAACACCTAAAGGGGGTCCAAACTAGTTGCTTCATATCACAATATCCAATTTTACCAACATACATAAATATATGTGTATTCACACATATATATATACCTCGTGATTTTTTTATAAAATCATTTTTGTTTGTTTCCTATACGTCTAATCAAACACACACGTTACAACTAAAAATATATTGACAATATAGCTCGGTTGGTAAAAGCAACGACTAATGCAGTTTCCTGTAAAACTTAAGAAATCTATATTAATACAAAAATAATTCATTATCTTGTGTGGGTAAATTAATCCAGTAGCATACAAAAATTAAATGCAAAATGTCGTTAAGCTATACCTGTTAGCGACGAGCTGTGTTTGAGGGGAAAAAAAAAGTTGTGTTGTGTTGTGGTTGTGGATCCGACATAAATATGATCAATATATGGTTGGTTTCAAAGCTAAAAATTACAAGGCATCAAAAATCGATTTTCTTTTACTATAAGAAAAAATATATAAACACAATTGTGTGTGTGTGTGTGTGTGTGTGTATATGCATCATGATTATATGCATGTTAATGTTACAGTTACATATATTCTCATAGAATATGTAAATACTTAGAAGCGTATATATGTTCCTTGAAAATAGTTCAAAGTATTTCTATTATTGTTTTTTTTGTTTTTGTTAAGGTATTTCTATTATTGTCTCAACCACCTTATTAAATTAAATAATGTCTCTATATCTTTCTATGGAGTCGTGTTACGTCTTTCTAGTTTGAGATCTTCTATACTACTTGTTCTCTTCAAGAATATTAATTCTCGTTTTATGGAAGATGCTGGTGAACATTCACGGTGTAGCGATAACATTAACGACGAGGAGCGTTTGTCATTGGAGTTTATGATCGGAAAGTCAACATCCACGGCGGAGCTAGAGCCGCCACCACCGCCACCGTTCTTGGTAAAGACATACAAAGTGGTGGATGATGCGACAACGGACGAGGTTATATCTTGGAACGAAGACGGAACTGGCTTCGTCGTGTGGCAGCCGGCAGAATTCTCTAGAGATCTGTTACCAACACTTTTCAAGCATTGCAACTTCTCTAGCTTCGTTCGGCAGCTCAATACTTACGTACGTATGCTCCACTGTTTCAATTAAGTAGTCAAAACTATTTGTGTTTGTTTGAGTTTACTAGTCCTATAAAATATTTTCTTCGGTAATTGGTCCATGAACATTTATTAACTTTAGGTAAATGATCTTAACATTCATACCAAAATAACTTAGGTAAATGACTATATCTTTTTCTTTGTTCTGCTAGCTATAAACACATAACGAGTGTTATTTTTATAAATAGCAAGGTTTCATTTGTTTACATAGAAAAGCGTAATATATCTCTAATCAACATTTTGTTTAATAAAATAACATTTTTATTGAGAAATAACACTTGTATAGGGGTTTGTACGTGGATTTGCTTAATATTATAGGGGTTTCGAAAAGTAACGACGATAAGATGGGAATTTAGTAATGAGATGTTTCGAAAGGGGCAAAGAGAGCTTCTGAGCAATATCCGAAGAAGGAAGAGCCAACAATGGTCACACAACAAGTCTCATTATCAGGTTGTATCAACAACAACGACGGTGAAGCAAGAAGATCATCAACGGATTGGGATTGATCATCACCATGAGGATCAACGGTCTTCCGCCACTTCCTCCTCTTTTGTATACACTGCATTACTCGACGAAAACAAGTGCTTGAAGAATGAAAACGAGTTATTAAGCTGCGAACTGGGGAAAACCAAGAAGAAATGCAAGCAGCTTATGGAGTTGGTGGAGAGATACAGAGTAGATGACGAAGATGAAACCGATGAAAATGATGATGATGAAGAAGATGATGGGCTTAAGTTGTTCGGAGTAAAACTTGAATGAAACTAGATCGCTAGATTGATATTCACTACCAGTTTCTTCAGACTCTTACAAGCTTTGCATCCACTATAGTACTCTTTTAAGACATGCATGCAAGATCAGAAAGAAATCTCGGATTCTGTGTTGTATTGATTAAGTCGATCTCGTGTTTAAAACATGGTACATATCGTGGACATTTATTAAGAGCACAGTTTCTCATGTATTTGCGAATTTTACAACTATTTTGGCTAAATGAGATCTCTTTGGTTAATCTATTTCTTTTTTTTGTTCACTTAGCAGGTTTTTGGAGATAAACTAGTCAATGGAAGAGCATAAAAGCATCTGACTATGTTGACTGGTTACTGAATTCTCCATCTGGCTTAGACATATTTTAGTTAAAAAAAATCATCAACAATATATGAGATTCCAAATTTCCATATGAAAAAACTACCAAAACGATCTTACTGTGTTTGAACTTATACGTTTCTATTCATCAAATTGGTTTGAGATCTTCCTACCACTTATTCCCTTTAGTAAGAATCTGAATCAATTATTCTCAGTCTGTCTTTTAAGACATGTAAGTTCAAAACATATGTCCCAGAAATCTTGGATTATGTGTAGTGTTGATAAAAGCCTCGTGTTCGAAATATGAAGCATCGTGTATATATAGAGATTAAGAGCACAGCTTTCTCATATATATGTCATATTTACAACTATGTTGGATAAATGAGATTATGAGTGATCAGATCTCTCTTTGGGCTATGGTCACAAAGGGTTTTTGTTATACAAGCAGCGATACACTGGCTACGAGTTAGCTGCAAAATGATTGAATATGGTCTCAAGTGTGGATTGACTTATGCTGTATTCAGCTATTCCCAGCCGATTCCTGCCATAGCAAGAAGCAAATTTCTTTTCTCAGACTTACAAAGACTGATTTTGTGTGGAATCATGGAAAAGAAACAGATAAAATAAGAATGTCTTACCGGTTTCTTTCAAGGTGTCCAAAGGCATCCGCAAGTGACAATCCTCCTTCTCCAAACGGCAACTGCAACACAACCCATAGACAAACATTGAGCACAAGTCTAAGAGTCATCTTAGAGAGCCAATGGATTTTGTGTTTAATAGTTACCTGGTACTTGATACTCAGTCCATTGCAGCTTTTGAATGTTGCACCGGGAAACGAAGATTGTATGAAAGACTCCAATGCTGAAAACTTTTCTTTGGTCAGCCACCACTCGGCAAATATTGGAAGTGGAATACCACCTGTCCAGCATCAAACGGACAAATCATATATTTATGATACAAGTCGTGAAACAAGGCAAAATCTAAAAATATATATGACATGTGTGCTCTTACCATCTCGAAACAGCTGCTCTGATAACTGGTCCTCGAATCGCACATCTTCCTCAGGCACTGGAGGTACTAGAGTACTCACTCTCTGCTCATTACCAAGAAACTTGGCAATACTTTGTACCATTTCTGGTGACAAACTGATTTCTGATGCTGAAGCTGTATCAGGAGTAATCGAGTCAGAGACACCTATACAAACTTCGAGATCACCCAGCAAACTTCTAGGCTGCGTAGGAACGTTAAACAGCCACTGCTGAATTATTTGGCAAAAGTTCTCCAATTCCTCACTGCTGACTTCATTGGGTTTGACCTAATTTGTAAGACAGACAACATTATGCACAAGCTTTGAAAAATGATCCTTCCTACCATTGAAACAAAACACCATTGTAAAAAAGTACCTCTAACTCAAGGTGGTTTCCGTAGCGTGTCTTTAAGTGTTGTGGACTACCTATGCATCTTAGGCGGCCTCCTACCTGTAATTTGAGGAGTATGGTGCTGTGAGGTGGAAAGATTTAAGGAACTAACGCCCTAGGAAGTTCAAAATGAGTTAAAAAAAAATACCATGATCCCGATCCTAGTGCAAAGTGCTTGAGCTTCATTCATGCTATGAGTAGTCAGAATGACTGCTGTCTTTCCACTCCTTGTCGACAAGCGGGATATCACATCCCACATGAATCTTTTGGCAACAGGATCCATACCTGAAGCATTTAAAAAGAAAACACTAACAACTTTACAGAGTAGCTAAAAACTAGTGTAGAACAGAGATGAAGTCCTCGTTAGTGATTTTAAAGTCAAACTGGTCCGACAAGTCAGCCAAAATTTTGATTGGGTTATACCTGTAGATGGTTCATCGAGGATGACAATAGGAGGATCTCCAATCATTGCAATAGCAACAGATAGTTTGCGCTTGTTTCCGCCGCTAAGAGTGAACGATGGCTTGTGAGAATGTTTCAACAAGTCAAACTCGACTAACTTTTCCGTAACCACCTGTTATTAGATAACACATATCAGCCAATATCCAATTAGGAACTTCCACTAGTTAGATATACCTAATATTATGGTTGTGATTTTGAATACATTTTAAAAATTTATCCTAGACGGTAAAGAAAGATGATTTTGTTCAAATGTTGTGTAGGTATATAACTTCGCCAAAAACCTATACTACTATTGGGGAATCACAGAACTCATCAAGGCGTGTAAGCAAACATTAAACGTCATAGTCAAGTACTTGAATATATACCACTTACATTATCAATTCTATAATCAACTACTCCTTTGATCCTTGCATAAAGTTCAAGGTGCTCCTTCACAGTCAAGTACTCGAATAAAGCGTCAAACTGGGGGCAGTAGCCAATCTGTGTAGGAGAGACAAGACTTTTTAACATTCAACGTTCATTCTACAGACTCAGTGAGATTGGTAAAGTCAATGAATTGACATACATGCTGACGAATAGCTTTGGGACTCGCTACAATGTCTTTCCCAAAGATGAAGGCAGTTCCACTAGTTGGAGTTTCTTCTCCTATTGTACCCAAAGAAGTGAGAATAGTCAACGCTATTGCTTCAGAAGTTGCAGTTGTTTATTTAGCGGTAACAAAGTATTTAAGATAACAGCTCCGCGAATAGTTTCCAAATACCAAATACGCACAACATACCAGATAACATAGACAAGGTAGTAGTCTTCCCAGCTCCATTCGTCCCTAAAAAGCCAAAACATTCTCCTGCTTGGACCGAGAAAGTCAAAGACTGTACAGCTACTTTTGGGCCGTGATGTTTGTCACCAGGATAGACCTGCACAGTTGTACTTTAGGAAAAAAGAGAGGAGAACCTCTGTCGACGCTTAGGTAAAAAGAGCAGGCTTCAATACCTTCCTCAGGTTCTGTAAGTAGAACATGGTGTTGTCTGTCAACCCCGAAATCACCCTGTCTCTTTCCTCTTGCACGTCTATGTCATCCTCCATATCAGCGGAAATGGCTCCAGGCGAATCCTTGAGAAGTGGCTCTGTAGAACTAGAACCAGCACCTTGTTTGAAAGCTTTGAAATTCTGCCACCACTCCCCAATTGAGAACGACATCACCTTTTGGAAAGGCATGAGCTCAAGCCCAAGCGTCACAAGGAAGTAGAATATACTCTGTCATATATGAGTTCAGTCAGACGAGATGCCGCTATAATATAAATTAACTATAAATTTGCGACTATCCCATGAAAAAATGACAAAAGTACCATAAGAGTAACGACGATATTCCACCTTTTAAATTCACAAATACGAAATCATTGACACTTGATGATGGATCCATTTCTCAGGTTTTCAAAGGAGTAGGAACAAAAAAGTTGAAGAACAAGGAAGACTCTAACCTCCAAACCCAGGTAACAGATGGACGCTCCAGTGACGTTCCATTCAAACACCCCATGACTAGATTTGTCTTTCATCCCCTGCCTTAGAAGCGCTAATGAAGCCAATCCATCAGAGAAGCAAAATCCTGGTGATAATCTGAAGAAGTTCTGTAGAAGCATAACGAAAAAGAATCAGTTCCTAGTCTTTTCAAGGATCACCGAGGTCAGGAAATCAGAAGATTCCATACCTTTAGATATGAATTTGCACTAGCAGTCGCTGGAATAAGGCCCATAACAAATGAGATAACCATAAGGATAAGACCAGAGAAGAAGTGCACCATAAGAATAACATTCTGCGATTACAACAAAGACATCTATCCATCAGTCAAAATCTTCTAACAGTATGAAGTAACTGAGGAAAAAGAAAAACCAAATAACGATATGGGTAAAAGCACAGAGTAGCTAGAAGTTGCCTGAGCCATGCTATGCTCGGTGAAGAAAAATGTAAGACAGTACGTTGATGATGCAATTGCCAAGCCATACTCCAGGAGCATAAGAACAGTCGGAAGAAACCGTCCTATTCCGATAAACTGTTCCAGACCTAAGGGAAGAAATTAATCATTTCAGTAAGTTTATAGCAAAGTACAGTGAATTATAAGTCCCAATGCAAATGGAATAATTATAAAAAAAAACTAACTTACCAAAAGCGTAGAAGAGGATTATTGCAAATGTTGACGGAAATAAGAAACTGATGAAATCCCATACGTACGTTGATAACCAGTATGAAAGAACAGAAACCTGCAAGCCATAAGAGATCATGAGCCCAATCTTACAGGATTAAAAGTAAGAACCTGGAACTGATGCTATGCTTGTTTTTGGTACTCCAGAAGTTTTAGAAAATTTACCCCACTGATAAGCTGTTGATGCTTTGCTTTCACCTCCCGCTCCTGAATAAAATAAAATCCTTATAGATATTCAGAACAAAATACTGGAAAAGGTGGAACAAAAACATTATGCCAAAAGTACTTGAGGTTTGACCTTACATACGTACCTTAACAATGGGAACAGCAAAGGAGGCCGGGATGAACGAGAACGCAATATTAACGATAATTGCGGCGGAAAAGGCATCCAAATCCTGCATTGAAAAGAAAATAAGATCAAAACTACTAATATCGTCACATTTTGTTGTTACGAATAAAACAATTTTGAGAGGAGGAGACAGGGACAGTAGAATCTGATCCGATGTGTCCGACGAAAAATAAGGTAGACACCTGTCAATTTTTGCTACAGACTTTTACATTGGTTCCCATTTACTGACAATCAGTTTGAGGGATCCCATCAAATCACTTATCGCTCAAACTGAACATAATTTCAATAAAATAACACTATTGATACCACAGAAAGGGAACTACTCCAAAAAGAAAGACATACATGACGCTGTAGGCGCTGAGTTTTTGTAGGGGGCAAAGGATGGTTTCGGGTTTGAATTGTCATATTCTTGTTACCCGTAGCAAGTCGGAGAATCGCAGCATGCATAACATTGATGTAGATTGGACCAGCATGCTGACAAGTACCGTTGTGTAATACGGTGTA